AGGTTACAGGCCTGACTGAAACTGTGCCGAGCTTCTGTACCAATTCAGGCCCAACAGTGCCTGGCCTCTAAGGTAAGGATATTAGGAGCCCTGATGGGAACCTAAATCATGAGATGGAGAAAGTAAAATTAAGAACTTGGACCTCCCAAATTTCTTAAATCTTTGTTGCTAAAGAAAGCCACCAACCACCTTCCTCCGATGCCTCTACCCTCTACTATCTCTGAAAAACAGGAACTCACCTTCAGAGAATTTCCAATGACTTCATTTGGACATAAGGATAGCAATGGTTTCAGGGGCAAGTTCTCCCTCCTCCATACCACATTCCCTCATGGATCCTAGAACTATTCTGATCTACAAAGATTCAGGGTGGAAGGAGATAGTTTACACAGTGATATTGATTCAGGATCTTCCCAATTAGGAGTTGTAGGTATATTAGTGAGAGTAAATTCTAAAGGAATCATGTTAAGTAAAATGAAATCTAAGATTAAAACAACTGAATTTATTGTCATGGCTGTACTCTCCTGGGATGCAAGATTTTATATTTTATTTCTTAACACCTGGCAGTATGTGTGGATCTCTAAAAGTTTGTGAAGATTGTTCATTGAAGGTATATCCCAAAAGGATTTCTAAGTTCTTTTCTCCTTTACTTAAATGTTGTTTCAGATTCCTTGTATCTCAAGGGGACGCCTACCACTGACAGACTTTGGTATGTGTACTAAGGATTAAAGTGAAAATATAAGGTTCACACAAATTCTCTCTCAACAGCACCTTATGATAAGCTGCATTTTTTTGAAGTATAATTACTACACTCATGTATGTTATTAAGATTACACTGTTAATCTCTTGAGAACAGACTATTTCCCATTCATTTTTTAAAAATCCCTGCAATCTAACATCTTTCAAACACAAAATAGGTGATAAATACTGATTAGGTGATTGGTTGTTTTGAATCTGTTTCTTATGTTCCTTGATTGTATATATGCCTGAATCACCTTAGTTTTCTATCACAATTGACATAAATTTATTGGGAATAGTCTCTACCTTCAACAGGCTTATGGCCTGTAACAACACACACATATACACAATTTGATACTGTGACATAGCATTACTAAAATCCAAATGATGAGGTAGACAGTAAGTGTGTAAGAGCTGGACAAGGGAGACGTCACTAAATGGCGTAGTCATAACCCTCATCACAATGTGGGACATGGTTTAGCTTTGAAGGAAAGGTAGATGTAGATAAAGTGAAAGGTTTTTAAGGCAGAACAATTTTGAAGGCTGGGAAAATAAATATATTATTTCATGTTTGCTAAAGGGCCAATTCAGAAGTATGGAGATTTCTTGCAGGAGAGTAGGTATATGCTGAAGTAGTTCAGCAAATAACTTGTGACTCAATTATGACAGAGCCTTGAGCATCTAGTATAACACTTCAAATTCTATTTTATAGGTAATAATCAAGCATGAAATTCTAGAGCTGAACATTAGCCTATGCAAAAAGGGACTTTAGGAAGACCTCTGTGACAGTAATGGTGAGGATGGAATGGAGGATGATCAGCTTTGAGTCAGAGATAAAGAAACTGCAGAAATGTGAGCGAGGAGAAGGCAGGCCTGGACTAGGCCGTAGAATGGAATTTCCCTATCTGGGCTCCCTGAGAGAGCACACCTGTGCAAGGATGACAGTAACTGCAGTCTGTCCTCAGAACAGTAAACTTTTGCCTACTGTGCGCTTCCAAAGTTTTAGAGAGTGAAATGAACTAAATTTAAGTTGACAATATTTATGAAATATTAGAATTGTCAGGGGTCCATGGGACCATCACAAGTTCTCTAATGCTGTGGATGCAGACACATCGGGCACCAGAGGTACACAGAGGTTTCCTACCATTATCCAGGTGGCCAGCAGCCCAATGACGAGGAGTTGTTCAGAATGGAGTAATTAATGAAAGAAAGGATTGAAATATTGGAAAGATACATGCAGGAATTTAATAGATGTGGATCTTACATGGTAATTAGGAAAGTGTGGAAATTTTCAGAAAAAGTTATAAATGAGTTATCAGAATACAAATGGAGTGATTTAGGAGGAAGGAGGGAGTGGGTATTGACAGGTTTCTCTCACAGCTCTATGCTCTGAGCTAATTACATCTCAATTTTGCCATTAAACTTAGTGCAATAATTTTTATTGGTATCTAGCCCCTCAGTCTATTGTTTAAAGTGTCAGTTTTTAGCTATGCTGAATGTCTAATATACGAAATGTTTTATCATTTTCAAATAGCCTACTTAATGTGTACAGCCCAAGCTTAAGGATTTTTTTAAATTTTAGTAAAAAAATGAGATTTTTTTAGGTTAGAGGTTATGCATCACTCTTATTTTTTTAAAATATAAATGCTTTAGATTTTGTTTTCACTCTTATCTATGACACCCCACCAAATTGAATGTAGTGAACCAAAAAGCTGTCATTTATTTAAAATTTTCTATTACCTGAAGGAAAAAAATACTGAATTTTATAATTTGATGAACCAAACTCACACTGCACAACACTTAGAAGCAAACAAAATTCAATATAATATGTCAAGTTTCAAGATTAAATTAAAGATATGTGGAATGTAATTTATTGCTTGTGTAGAAATAAACCATACATATCAAAAAACAAAAATGAAAAGAATAAACCTAAGATAAGAGACTTTAATACACAGTATAGCAAGTGACACTTTTTGGTTATTTTGCACTTTTCATTATAGATATAAACAACAGCTTTACTAATTGGTGTTTTCAATGATCGTCTTTTCTCTAATTTCTTTAAGTTAAAAAAATGCTACTTAAAGCATTAGTTAAAACAGAATATTGGAAATAGCAAAGGCTTTACCTCTATATATAATTATATAATATTTAATGTTATATATTATATATGATGTAAATATATAACATATACATATATATTAACAATATTATATAAAAAATATAATGCATAATTGAATTTTATATAAATAATATCTTGAGAAACTGAACTCCAATGCTCTGAGCTTTATCATCTCAAATGGAGCCCTAGTACCAATGATGGTCCTTATATTTATTTCTTATTCATTTAACCACACAATGTTGCAGATAATTTCTACTCCTAGTCAATATATTAGCAAATTAAATTGCAAGGCTATTGATAAGATCATAGCTTTGAAACAGGGCTACAGTAAAAACATCATGATGGGATGGCATATAATTGTTCATCTTAAATCTATAGACGCATAGGTGAAAATCGAGAGCTTTGGAGATCGTATTCTACTCCTTTCATTTTTGGGTCTATAAAATGTGGCCCAGGAAGCAAGTGAACTTCTCCAAATTCACAGTTTTATATATGTTAGTTTGCAGTTTGTTTTTAATATCAATATAGATTTTCATATATGTGTGTATGTTCTGTGATGAAAAGATTTTAAAGTACAGCACTTTTAGAAAATTAAGACGAGCATTCACTCAGCTTCTGGAGAGGAGACTGCTCTGTCAGTTCACACACACGTGCGCGCACACACACACACACACACACACAAATGACATGGTAATTCTATTAATAGGATCTGACTTGGTTCGAAATACAGAATTTTTATAGTTTCAATGCAATATAATAACTATACTGTAAATGTAAAGCATATAATGTATATGAGATATACAAAAAAAATTTATATTTCTCCCCCTCCATGAATTTCATCCATGGAGGATGAATATCTCCATGGATAATATCTGTGATAAGACAGCTACAAAAACAGATATCATGCTATTCAGACTGTAACAATTATTATATAATCTAGACATGGAAAAAAAAGCAAATGATGATATCTCATTTTAGGTCAATGTATTAAGTCAAGTTGCTAAAACAAAATACCATAGACTAGATGGTTTAAACAACAAAAATATATGTTCTCCCAGTACTGGAGACTGAATCAAAGTCCAAGATCAAGTGCTCAGCAGGAATGGCTTTCTGATGAGAGTTTCTTCCTGGTTTGCAGACCGCCTCTTTGAACTCACATGGCCATCCTGGGTGCCTGCAGGCATCCCTCCCTCCCGCTTCTTACAAGACCAGCAGTGCTATTGGGTTAGGACCCTTCCATTATGAATCATTTAATCTTAGTTACCTCCTAAATACCTTACCTCTAAATACAGTCACACGGGAGATTAGGGCTTCAACACATGAATTTAGAGGGACACAGTTCAGCCCATAGCAATCAGGAAAGGTTTGATGAAGGCAGCACTTGGGCTGTGGTGAAGCAAAATATGGATGGGGAAGTCTTACTCTGAACTAAGGGGAAGAAAGACCGTGAATGTACAGAGGCTTGAAAGTTCAGGCATATTTGCAGAACAGTAAGTATTACAATTTTGCAGTCACAAAGAATATATGTTGGAGAGAAGTCAAAGAATAAATGGGAAGGGAAATGATATTTACTTCATATACTGAAGCAGTTTACATTATTTCAACATCATGATGAAATCATCAATATGCTTGAGAAAGGGAGTGTTACTCTTTGATCTGCACACTGGATCTTAAAATGAAGTGTTTAGAACAGACTCAAATGAGCAGAGTCTGGGGTATGGAAGGCAGATCTGGAGAAATACTGCAACAGACTTTGTGGGATTAAATCAAATCACTTCTGGATGATAGTTTTATCTTTTTCACTGCCAAAATTTCTGACTCTGTTACCTATGACTTTTAAGGAAAACTGTTTAAGCAATTTGGCTTGCACCTATACCTCTCCATAGAAATCTCTTTCATAATTCATGGTGGTACTTCTCCCAAATCCAAAGGTCCTTTCTTAGTTTTGTTATCTTTTTCTTCTCTTCAATCTTAGTGAGTTATTTTAAGCCCATTGTTGAGATGTACTATTCAAAAAATATATATTACTGCTCATTGACAATGCAGCTGATCACCCAAGAGCTCTGATGGAGATGTACAAGATTAAGGTTGTTTTTCATGCCTGCTAACACAACATCCATCCTGCAGCCCATGGATCAAAGAGTCATTTCAATTTTCAAGTTTTATTATATAAGAAATACATTTAGAAAAAGACTATAGCTACCAAGGAAATCAGTCCTCAGATAGATATGGGCAGAGTAAATTAAAAACCTTCTGGAAAGGATTCACCATTCTGGATGCCATTAAGAACATTCATGATTCATGGGAAGAGGTCAAAATATCAACATTAACAAGAGTCCGGAAGAAGCTGATTCCATCCCCATGGATGACTTTGAGGGGTTCAAGACTACAGTTTAGGTAGTGAGAGCAGATGTGGTGGAAATGACATGATCTAGAATCACAGGTAGAGCCTAAAGATGTGACCAAATTGCTGAAATCTCACGATACAACTTCAACAGATGAGGAGCTGCTTCTCACAGATGAGCAAAGCAAGTGGTTTCTGGAGGTCGAAATTGCTTGTGGTGAAGACGCTATGAAGATTGTTGAAATGACAACGTAGGACGTAGAATATTCCATACACTTAGTTGATAAAGCAGTGGCAGCATTTAAGGGGATTGACTCCAATTCTGAAAGAAGTCCTACTGTGGGTAAAATGTTAAAAAACAGCATCGCATGCTACAGAGAAATCGTTCATGAAAGGAAGAGTCAGTCAATGTGGCAAACTTCACTGATGTCTTAAATTGGCAAAGTCCCCCAAGCCTTCAGCAACCACCATCCTATCAGTCGGCAGCTATTTAAAATCGAGGCAAAAAAGATTATGACTCACTGAAAGCTCAGATGATGGTTTTTAGCAATATTTTTAATTAAGATACTTTGTTTTCTTAGACATAATGCTATTGCACACTTAACAGACTAAAGTATAGTGTAAACATAACTGTTGTACTCACTGGGAAACCAAAAGCTTCATTTGACTTCCTTTAACGTGATACTCGTTTTATTGCGATGGTCTGGAACCGAATTTGCAAGGAATGCCTGTACTTCAAAAAAAAAAAAAATCCTTGCAAGTACCTGGCGAGATTTCAGTCCAAACAGAGAAAAAACTCCTGTCAGTACTGAAAGACCCCAGGGACACAAGAGGGGTCTCCAAAGAGGGTGCGAATGACACCGCTCCCCCCAGATCAGCGAGAGCCACCCCCAAAGGATACGCAAAAGAAGGGGTCCAGGCACTTGCCCAGAGCGCTGGCGGGGTCAGCAGCAGGGCCCCACCTGCAACTGGGGTGAAGCCTCCATTCCTCTCTGGCTACGTTTTGGGGGTGTCCGACCTGACATTGCCAAGCCGCGTTCTCATGACAAAGTAAGGCGAACGAGCGGGCAACAGCTGTCTGTGGGAGAGAAGGGGCTGACGCCGCCCGGGCACCCAAACGCAAATTCACGAGTCACGATTCAAAACCTAATTCCTCTAAACGCTTCTCCCTGCGTGGATTTGGCAAGAAGGCACGACGTGAAAGCTCACCTTCTTCCCTCGAGCAGGCCGTGCAGATGGGGCGCCGGGGCGCTGACTGTCGGAGCCAATTCCTCCCTTTCTGCCGTCTTCCGCCGGGCGGGGTGGGAGCCCCAGAGGGTCCGGCCCGCCGCCGGGAACGGGGCGGAGGGGCGCGGCTCTCCCCGGCCCGGCATGGCGCCTGCCCGCGAGGCCCCGTCGGCCCAGGCCCCGCCTCGCGCCGAGCCCGGCAGGAGGGCTCCGGGGTCTCCCCCGCCTGCGGCTCTGCCTTCGGGCCCCGCCCGGTCGGGCCGAGGACGGACGCAGCGCGGCCCGGAACTGACCTGCCGCGGGGCCGACCCGGCGCGGGGTTGGGGCGGCACCGGGCCACGTGCCCGGGGCGGCGGGCGGCGGCGGCCTGCGGCCCCTCAGGAGCAGCCGGGCCCGGAGGGCGGCGGGGCCCCGCAGGTACGTCCCGGGGCTCGGGCTCCCCCGCTGCCCGCCCGCAGGGCCGCCGAGGGGTGAGCGGGGGCGTGTGAGGCACGGGAGGCGCCCTGGAGCCGGACCGTTTGCCCTGGGCAGAGCCAGTCTAGAGGCGGGGCGGGGCGCCCCTCCCGCAGGAGCCGCGGGCCGACTGGCCGAGGTGCCCAGCGGAGCCCCGCCGGGACTGACGGGCCGTCGCCTACGCCCGGCGGCCTGGCGGGCCTGGCCTCCTGGGCGGTGATTCCTTAACCTTCACGTGCCTAGAGGCCGAGCTTCCGGTTTGCTCTGCGGGCCGCCTCGGCCGTAAAGCCCCGTCAGGCTAATGGCCTCCCGTGCAATTGGGCAGATCCTAGCTTTGTGGCTGCAAAAGCTGATACAATTGTGGTGTCTATAAAAAAAAAAGACACCCATTTTTGAATACATAAAGGGCATGTGTACCAGGGGTTTCTGAAGCTTGAGCTACTTGATTTTCAGGATCGATGTATTTCTGAAGCAAAACGTGACTTACCCTCAGCGGAGCCGGTCTCGGTGCTGGCGCCGCTCACGATGCTGGTCCTGACAGCCGAGAGCTGAAGGCCACCATTTCCGCCAGGGCCCCGTTTATGTGCGGAGCGTGGTCTTTTCTGGTCACTGGGTCCTTCAAGCCAAGAGACCTATGAATGAGCGCTGGCTTGGGCAGTTCACTGCATTGCCCATCCCCCATCCCTTTTCACTGTCCCTTAAAATCCTTCCTAAATGTCATAACCCTGTAACTTGAAGGAACCCAACTGTAGTGATTCCACAGTATATCGATTCCACAGAAATCTCTTATAAGCAATTTGCATATGCAGGCACTTTTAAAGATTTTTTTCTTCTGTTTTGCATAAAAAAGGAAAAAGTAGTTTGATTCTGTTGATACTAGAATTAAGAAATGCCAACATATCATGGCTTACTGGGATTTATCTTGCTTTTGATGTCTGGACTTCCTGCTGAAATGCGGTCTTGCTTTGATGGTCTGGCATCATTTTCATTTCGATGTTTTTGCTTTCCTATTTGGGACACGTTTGGCAGTCAAAATATAATTACGTAGATGCTTTTCATATGCAGATTTCCATGTAATTACTTCATCAAGCTATTTATTATATTTATTTTGGAAAGAAGTGTAGAATTTAGGAGGTTGGAGATAATAGCAAAATGTCAAAATTTCTTTGTCTCTGAGTAAATTAATTTTTGAACATAATGATACCAATTGATAAAGATCCTTCTGTCTTCCATCATTCCACCTTACCGTCCCATTGAAGTTACGTGTTATAAATAATAGGAATGTCAGAGGCATGCACTATGTAATTTTGTGTCTGAGCACATGTGTACTGAGCACACTCTTTATCCACACAAAAGAAAATATTATTCTGTGATATTTTGTGAACCAAAATTATAAACAGGACTTAGATTTGATAAAAGGTTAAAGAACTAAAGTTAATGTGAAATAGATTTTTTAGGACTTGATTGATGATCTTGAAATACAGTTCCATTTTTTATCCAGTTATTTTTGTTTCTGTTCTCCACTAGCAAAATGAAATCTTCATATATTATTGTCATGTCAAAATACAATGAAATGTAATCTCTTTTTCCTGTTTCACTATTCCTGTCTCATCATAAACAATTATTATACAGTGCTTTATCCGTATCCTTACATTTGCCTGTGTCCTTGAAAAATGTGGTATCATTCTGTAGTGTATGTTTTTAAAGTTTGTTCAGTTTATTTGTAAAATTTACAAGACTACAGAGATGTTGAAAGATGAGCAAATGAACAAGTTCGACTTACAGTTGTTAGCGTGTTGTCTCTGTCATTCCCTCAGTCTTTCGCTTACTACCTTAAGATTTGCAAGATAGTTATTTTCTAACTCGCTTATTCCTAGCATTCCTCTGTAAAGAACTTCCCCTTTCTCTATTCCCTCCTTTTTTGATCCATTGATTTTTAAAAATTCAATGTGTCAAATCCTTTGCTATCTTTTTCATTATGATGCTCAAATTGACCGAATTTTGGAATGTGGTATCTATCCCCTTATGTGGCTCCTATGTGCCTTTGAAATGACTCTATTGTCCCTTATTCAAGGTTGAAGGACATGGAAAGACACTGCATGGTTGCAGTTGGGGGGATGCGGGGCTGGAAGGAAAGAGAGGGAGGAAGTGTGTACTTTTCTAAGTGAAAGAGGTTTAAAAGTTCCCACCATTATCATATCCCACATGGAATGTTGTTTGTGGCAGAGAAAATAAAGATGGAATATTAAAATTCAGGGACACTGCAGGGTCAAGTAAATAGAAAAATACCTGATCAGGGTGAATAATTGAAACAACAGTCAACATTTTGCATGTCATCTGAGGAGGAAGTGGTAGGCTGAGCTTGTGGTACATTTTGAAGAGCTAGAGAAGCAGAATTTTTAAACTTAGAAGTAATTGCAGACATGCCTTTTTGAGTATGTAACAGGCACTCTTCTATGCATTTAGTTACTTTAATTCTCTGAAAAAGTCTCTAGAGCAGACGATTGTATTATTTCATTATTCCAGACTAGAGAACTGGCATATAATTTTTTTTTAAAGTGGAGGAATTGGGATTCAGATGCTAGTACTCTAACTCCTGAGTGTGTGCGCTATGTGGTACTGTCTTTTAGTATCCTGGAAAGTCAGTGAAATGAGAATGTGCCGTATAAAATGGCATGGGGAGAATGTTACCCCATAGGTGGAACAGAGCAATGAGATTTCAGAGCAGAACTCTTCTCTTAGGGCCCCACCTCTTGCCTCTTTCCTCCCAGCCCAGACCTTCCTTGCTTGGACCTCAGTGTGAGCCCGCACTGGAGCGACACCCCCAAAGCATGGGGAGTTAATGCTCCATAGACTTGACACTTTCACAAGAAGGTTGCAGTAGCTAGCGGGTCAGTATTTCTCGTTTCTTCTCCCCCTAAACAGAAAATCCTCAGACACTTTTGTATATAGCTTTGCGGATGGTCCCAAGGAGGTGAGTGATCAGACACCCATAAGGTGGCTAATTGCCAGTGTTGGCTCTTGCTTTCCAGCGTTGCTGTTGGTCCTTCACTCCAGCTTCCTGGGATTGAATGTCCCCACTAAATTGTTCCTGCATTAGCCTTTGTCAAAGGCTCTAGGGGAATCTAAGATGTAGTTGGTAATGAGTCTGTTTCAGGAAGCGAGCTGTGAAAGAGGGGAAGAAGGCTTTGTGTGTTACTGAAAGTATTTTTAAAGAATAAAAATGACTAGACTACTGATTCTCAACCTGGGCTGCATAATAGAATCATCTCCTTTTTTTAAAGAGTTTTTTTTAGAGCAGTTTAAGCAAAATTGGGAGAAAGGTACAGAGATTTCCCATACATCCCCTGCCCCTACACATGCACAGCCTCCCCCACTACCAACGTCCCTCCACCAGAGTGGGACCTTCTTACAATTGATGACCCACATTGACACACCGTCATCCGTTGTTTATCCAAGTTTGCTCTTGGGTTTGTACATCCCATGCATTTGGACACATGTCTAGTGACATGTATCCATCATAATGGAACATTTACACTGCCCCGAATGTCCTCTGTGCTCTTCCTGACCATCCCTGTTCTTGTCCTCCATTCCCCGCACCCCACAACCCCTGTAATCACTGATCTTTTTAGTGTTTCTGGAGAGAATTTTACAAATAATTTTCTGTGTACCACCTTCAGGAATTCTGATTTAATAGTTCTGGAGTTGGTCTGAGCATCATTAGTTTTTGGAAGTTCCTGGATGAGAGTGATATGCAGCCAGGATTGAAAAATCTGGATTAAATTATGCTTAAATTATTAAGGGAGGGATTCAAAAGGAGGAGAGAGTGAAGAGGAATATTTCCTAGTTAATAGCTTTTCAGAAAGGGGAAGAAAATGGGATTAAGGGTATACACAGAGAGATTAATTTTTGAAAGACAAAGTAACACTCCTTGTAAGGGCCCAGGAATTTGTTTCGACAAGCATTATTCTGCACATGCATTGCCAGGGGATCTTGCTGAAATGCAGGTTCTGGTTCCTTAGATCTTGTGTGGGGCTGGACATTCCACACATCTAACAAACTCGAGTGGATGCCGATGCTGCTGATCTGTTAGTCACATTTTTATTAGCAAGAATTTGAGGGCGGGGATGTTTTTTCAGGTAAGTGTGATAGAAGGATGAAGGGGAAAGGAAGTTTAGGGTATATTTAAAACAGCTCTTACTTGGTGCTTAACTGATGCTCCATGGAATCTAAGCTCAGTAAGAAGGGAGATGAAGGGAAGAGGGGCTAATGAGTAGGACACAAGCAGAGGTGTCAGTGAACTGATGATTTTAATGTTTATTGAAACACAGTTGTAGTGACATTACTGACACCATCAAGCTGTAAAGATAGGAGAGCTTGGCGTTGTGAGAGTGAGTATTTGTATCAATAGTATTGGGTAGGAGTAAAGTTTAGTGGTGAAAAAGTCAAGGGCTTAAACTGAGGGGCAGAGGCAGAGGAGAGGAGATAAGTGGAGATGAGGTCAAGGACTTACCCTTGAAGAAGTTCAAGTTAAGGTAGAGGAGAAAGCAAGAATCATACACAAAGTCTTCAGTGAGTGAAAGGGTCTCATCAGTAATCATTACAACAGAGGGTGGAATTGGTTAAGTTAGCTGGCCTGAGACTCAGAGATAGAGGGTTTCTAGGAACAGTAGTCTTCATTCCCATGTGGCATTAGGAAACACAGAGGGTATAATCCACTACTTTAATTCTGAAATACTTGGGGTGTAAGAGAATGGACTGTCTCTGCTTCCAGGACTACAAAGATTTCAGTGATAGGAAAGAAGATGAGCATACAAGGCATGTGAGGACAGAGGAAAGCGCGCCAACCACAGAAAACAAGTTCTAGCGTCACAGCCTGGGGTCAAAGCACAGGGAAGATTAAGGTCAAGAGATAACATAAATACTGGGGAGACAATTCAGTAAAGAAGTCCGGAAGGACTGTTTGAGCAGTGACCAACAAAAACACTGTTTGGGTTGGGGTTGGTTATTTTATATGCTGTTGGAGACACGGATGCTCTTGGGAAAAATAAAAATCATATGTGTTTGGAAAGGAAACTCCAACTCTTTTCCCCCAAAGAGCCAGACAGTTAGTTCCATTCCTTGTGTCTTCTGACCTTGACAGTGTTATCAGTGCAGTAATAGATGCTATGGAAGAAATGGATATAAATCCAGAAGTCATTGTTATCATCTCAGGAGCTAGAAGTCTCCAAATGAAGATAAGAGCCTTACTTTCCTCTGAGAATTTAGGGTGTACACTGATGGAATTGGTGTAGTGTAATGACTAAGGATATAGTTCCTGGAATCTGGCTTCTCGGGTCCAAATCCCGGTTCCACCCTATGCCAGCTTCATGGCCTTCTGCATATTAATCTCTCTGTGCTTCAGGTCCCTTATCTATAAAATAGTGCCTTGCTCACAGGTCTGTTGTGAGGATTCAGCAAATTAATATAGATAAAGCATTAAGACCAGTGACTAACATATAATTCTACCCAGGTGTTTGATGTTTCACTTTTATAAATAACTGCTGGATTTGTTAGTAATGTTATTTTCATTTGAAAAGTGACTTTTTTAATATAAGAAAACAATAATGGTAACATCACATACCTAGGAGATGAGTCCTTACTGTTCATTATTTCATTTAACAGTTACAACAACTGAAACAA